CCCCAAAACCCCAAAACCCCAAAACCCCGCTCCTCTGCAGCAAGACTGAAAATAAAATAATTTAACTTTATAAAAAAAATGCACAGCACAGCCAGAAAAGCTGAAGAAAAGAAAGCTAAGATCATCAGGTAATTGGAGATTTAGGCCCCATCTGTGGCTTTAGATTATGATTTCTTACTTAGAACTATCAAAGGGCTATTGAACCTGTTTATATGGTGATAAATTAAAGTTTGTGACACTTCAAAATTATTTTGAGAAATTTGGAAGACTTACTTTGTAATTTTAAAAATCAATGTTTAAGCTAGCTTCTTTGTGATGGGTTAGAAATTTTGAGGATTTCTAAGAAATGAAGAAGCTTTCAGGTTTATTAGCATCTGGAATATCTTTAAATAGGATTTGTGGTATAATTTAAAAGAGTGTAGCTAAAATTGATTCTATAAGCTTTCTCTTAGTTATTGTTCCAGTGATAAGCAAGTGCAAGTAAAAATGTAGCAGTTAGGATTAATCTGATTGGCTAGTACAGATGTGCTAGTTTGAGTTGAACTTTGCCTGACGAATTCAGGCATGGACCTTAACTGTCTGATTACCTTTCTAATTGAATAGTTTAGAGGAATCCATACTCGCAGAGAACAAGGAGCTAGACTACCAGATATGCACCAGTGCTTACTATAACACTTTTTCTTGAGAAATGAACACAAAACCATTAGGTTCTGTTTATGGGGAAAATCTTTATGACCATAAATTTGATTTTCATTTTGGCTTCACTTGAAATGATAATTTTACACGAAAACTACAATCTTCTAAGTTCTTTGACGTTCATATGCTCTTCTTGTATCATATTGATTACAAAGATAAGTATCATCTAAATTTCATGAACTTCTCTTCACCGAATAAAGTGAATTATTTATGGATGTATACCGGTCATAAGATAGCATTGTATAGACCAGTTTATTTCAGATCGTTGCTCAGACTTGGCTCTAAAGCCATCCAGGAAGTTAAGTTTTCATGGGTCATGATTGACGAATACCAACTCAAGAGATTGTTTGCTGCATGTAGGCATATCAAAAGTGTGGGATTTGAAGATTGTGAACTGTTTATTATCAGGTAATAATACAGCTATTTTTACCAAAGACGCCTAAAATATTTTACATTGTACTGCCTTCTTGTTTGGATCCTGACTCCATGAAAATTTAATTCCTTTTATCCTGCACCTTATTTCAAGTTGAAAAGTATTCCTAGCTATTAGATTTTCCTATCAGTTTTTGATAAGCAAGTCAGGTTCCGTATCGAAATAAAAGAATTTGAAGGAGCGTATTGTCTAATGGATCACCAATAGGCTCTTTAATATTAATAACTCATAATATTTTTAGTCCCCCTGATCTGTCAAAAGCTCTTACCAATTGTCAAATACAGGAGCTAAATTTGAAAGGAACTGGAGGTTGTTATTTTGGGGATTGGGAAAACAATCCAGGGGACTTTGAGGAATTAATACAAGGGTTGGCTAGTTCAAGAGATTTAAGAACGAGCCTTAAAGTAATAGACCTCACTTGTTGTGAATTACCCTACAGAGAAATCGAAAGAGTTTTCACAGAAAACCAACTTGAAAGCGTAAAAATAGTACAAAGTTTGCAATATTAACTTTTTTGAGTAACTCTTGTTGTCTCATAAGTCTACACCTTATTTAAGCTTCTAGCTTCATTCAACATTTAACAGGTGTATATTTTCAATATATTAAGAGAAGTCTGGGGTTTTGGGGTTTTGGGGTTTTGGGGTTTTGGGG